CCGGTGACTATAAATTATCAAAGTAGTCCTTCGCTGTTCGGCTAAAATGAAGAACATTCAACACCTTTGATTAAATTTTCAATACCTTACTTGTTTTGAAAATTGAGTTGAAAAATAAGAGGATGGCAGTGCGGTTTTGTGTCATTCAATTCTTTCAATAGTTAAGACTCATAGAGACATCTAGCGGGGAGCACTGTAATGAAACTTTTTCAGTCGATATCATCTGCGAATGTTTTTTATTGCTTTCAATCAGAACTTCTTTTTTAAATGTTTCTCAAGTGCATGGCGTCAACATTGGGAATGAACGGAATGAATCAAAAAGAAACCATAAAGTACGTCCCAATGTGTTCTCATGTTCTCATCTGAGGCGGCCCACATTCCAGTTAGAAGATTTTTCATTGAGGTGTTGGGCTCTTCGTCACATGGTTTAGCCAACACTTGTAAGCCTTCCTTCACACTCTTGTCATATGTATCCGACACTTGTGGGTCCTCCTTCTTCACACTCTTCCCAACTGCTTCAATCTTCTGCAGAGTTTGGGCTTGCTCTGAACCTTCTTTCTCATTCTCCACAGACTGTAAGCCTTCCTTCGCACTCTTGTCACATATATCCGACACTTGTGGGTCCTCCTTCCTCACACTGTTCCCAACTGCTTCAACCTTCTGCAGAGTTGGGCTTGCTCTAAATCTCCTTTCTCATTCTCCACAGCTTCTTTCTTTGGCCCCGAATCAGTTCCAATCTCCTCCTCCCCATAAGCAGGAAGAGTGAGTAGTAACTACAATCGCAAAAGCAACTTACAGCAAAGATTATGAGCAAGCACATAAGTGTCCATACCTTTTCCTTCCTGCTATTTATAGGCTCAAGCCTAGAAGCTAATTTTGAGATAATCATAAATGGTCGTTAAAATTGAGTAAGTGCGTTCCAGTGTGAACACGTTTGACCTACTGCAATGCTGTACATCCCTGTGTATGTGGAGCTCTATATATTACACCCGACAATGGCCTCTAGTCTTTAGAAGTCGGCGAGGTATGCATGTTGAACTTACACTGCCTCAGCGCGGTAGCTCTAGCTACTGAAGGCAAAACTATATCGTGCTCATCAAAATGCTTATGACCTCAAAATCAATGTTTTTAGAGTTATTTTCGCCTCCATTTCAATAAGCGTCTGTCTAGATCAACAAGTCAGGCTGTCAAAGTTCGATGCACTAATAGCCTTTGGCGATTACATTATCATGCTCTATTCATGTCTGTAGCGACTAATTCAGCTGAATGGACCAGCTGTTTGCCTAAATCACTTGTTCACTTTTTTGTGCAAAATTGGGGAAACAAGCATTCATTACTATTGTTCTAGCCTAAGTTGAAATAATAATTGAAATCTGTTCTGCTCCTGGCTAAATCTGCGCGTTATGAAATTGAAGAAGATTATCGCAATTAGCACCGAAAATTCTCAAAAAGGATAGAATTTAATCAACGCTTTTAGTCGATGACTTTTGAATGTGATAAATGAACAATTCTCTCTGTGAAATTAGTAACTTCAACCACCTTTCAGCACCAAGCTTTTGGGATCGAGCACGTTTCATGTTCGAACATGTACCGTTTCAGCAAAACACAAAGAAATTAGTAGTGAAAATTGACACCTGATGACTAGTATCTAATCTGTTGGTTACCGAAGAAATTTGAACAAAAACAAAAACTTTTTCTGTTCAAACCTTTCTATTAACTTTTATTATTCCCGAAACTCCTCAATAAGGAAGAAAGGGTAACCAATAACGATAGGATTGTGATTTTCAATTCGCACTGTGTATATGTGTTTGCATGTATGTGAGTAACAGTGGCGTACCGAAGGCCCCCCCCCGAGAATGGGTCGCGAAATTTTTGAAAGTTGATTATATGGGTTATAAAAATGTGCGATTGACTTGTTTGCACTTTTAAATAATTAAAATAATTTTTAAAAATTTTTGAAAATTTAAATCAGCCTTATATTATAAAAATTTTGGAATTACGGGATTCTGAGCCCGCAAAAATTTTGGGGAGCATACCAAAAAATTTTTGGAGTGCGTGGCTGACGCCATGCCCATTCATCGGAAAAAAATTTTTTGTCCACCCCCTAGCCGAAACCTTGGGTACGCCACTGGTAAGTAATTATATGTCTATGGGCTATACACATATATATTTCCATATACAGTGACCGCCAAATTGTTGCGGGCAAGGCAAACTTTTTCCATCGTTCATTCTTTAAAAAATGAGGAAAAGGTAATCAAAATGCAAGTGCTGAATAGAGCTTTTCAAGAACCACATTTTTCGCATGCTGCTCCTAAAAAACACGGAGTAAAAGTTCTAGAATTTTTATCATAAAAATACTATGAATATCTGCGTCACAATGCTGTGAACAACAACTTCTTAAATGTCAAGATTCTTTACATCCTTTTTCGAGCGGAAGCACAAGCAATCCGAATAGGCAGGCAAGCCATGTTGAAGAGCTTTTTAAGAACAATAACCATCTTCATGGTTGTCTCCACAAAAACACAAGTCTGATTCTATATTTTGAATAATCGGAAGATGACTTATGATTCGCTGTAACAAACTATAATCTCTCCCGCAAGAAAACTTTCAAGAATTCAACAACGCTATCTGAATGTAAATGCTCTTAGTCATTATGTTTGCATCGGACGTGTACTTTCTTTGCTGAAATCTCTTGTAGTGCTTGCACATAACAAATGTTACCTTTAATGGCAAATATCCTCAATTCTTGCAAATTTCTTACAAAAGCCATATCAAGTGGAAAGAACGAAAACAAAACAGCTGCAATATCTTACACTAGTTTATCAAAGTTTCAGTGCTCACCACTGGTTCAGATGATTTGATAGTGCACATATGCTGTGATTTACAAGTATCAGTAATAACCAGGGTAGAGCGGGGGGTGCGGCACGCGACCGCCGGATACGACCCCCCCCCCCCAATGGGCCGGACCTCGGCACGACCCCCCCCCATTCCCTACCCCCCCCCCCTCCTCCCTCCCGAACACCCAAGCTAGCTCTTGAGCTTCGGATTATGTGCAGACCAGTGCGTCACCTCTGCTTCGCAGACAGAACAGATTTGGCAGTCGTTGCAATTTTCAACTACAGTGCCCTGCCGCCACTTACAGGGCATTCGTGGCGGGACCCTGCGTGTTTCAGTCAGAGGTTGCTCCAGTAACATTGCATTCTTGCATTCAAGAATGCTGATTCCGAAGTTTCCATAGCTACCTATGCGAAATGGTCATCTTTAAGCATCGTCGCCTAGTAAGACAGGTTCTACTACCTGAAAATGAAGGAACCCTTGCTGTTTCTTTGAAATGACTCGCGGATCCAGAGGAAATGGACTAGCATCCTATGCGGACGCTGTTTCTGCGAGCTTGCGATGTTCGGAATGATATTAGTGACAGGTGGGAAGAGAAAATCATTGTGTGATTTAAACGGAGAGCAGTGATCCCCATTACATTAGTGAGTACGATATCTTGCGAACATTACTTGGATAAGGTCCAATGCTGCTGCGTAATAATAACATGCTGCTATGAGTCCACAACTTTCACTTGGGCCTTTCTGACGCTTATATGGGTCTAGAACAAAAGTTTATTTTGCTTTGTTTTATGCTGAATACATTGCATCTGAAGCAGATGCGTTTTTACCGTTAGCACCCAAATTTTGAGTCTTGATATGGTCCAGAATTGAATTCTGAATAAAGAAAATACCTCATGTTCTCTTTGCAGCAGTTGACTGTGACTTGCATCACGCAGAAAAAGCGCATATCAAGTCAACTTAAAAGGTTGACTTCTGTCAAACTACCTTCTGCTCTATTATAAATTGCATCAGGAGTCGAAGTACACATGTCATCTTGTACATCAAGAAGTTATCTAATTTTTCGAAATCTGTGATTGTGATCTTTGACAACCTTGGTGCCTGATCTTTTCTCCCACGAACCACCTGCAATTCTGCTCAATCATTCCCTCGTGCACGTTATTGTATAATAAATATCACCGAGTATCTTTATGGGCTAATCACATGCGCTTTCTTAAATCCTTCTCAGCAATTTTGTTATTCTACTAGTACATATGTAGTGTTCATGCATAATATGTACAACATTTTTTCGTTCAAGGCCAGCTAAAAATTCGTTTAGCATTTCCTGATCGTGGTGCACAGGCTATAGTGCATCAGTAGATTCCAACGATTTCAACACAACTTGAGACATTAGCTGCCCAAATCGAATTTTTGAACTTGAGTTTGTCATTTTAGTAACCTCAGAATCCATGACAATCCCTCATTATAAAAAGCGAGTAGGAAAAGGAGAATGAATGGCACGGTGTGCAGCTTCATATTTTGAAATTGGAGTAATACACAGATAGTCCCGCCACGAATGCCCCGTAGGTGGCGGCGAGGTACTGTAGTTGAAAATTGCAACGACTGCCAAATCTGTTCTGTGCTTCGCAGAGGCTCGCACTGGCCCCACTGTCTGTACGCCTTACTATTTCCCGCACATTAATGACATTGAAACTTACCGCGCTATGCGGACTATCACGAATAATTTGTAAACAACTATTCATTTCAAAAGCTTTTCCATATTAGATCGGTAACTTCGCGTGAATGAAACTTTTTCCCTAACACCAGAAAGTTAAGAGACACCAGAGAAATTTGGGCGCTTTTGAGCGAAGTCTGGCCACGGCCAAAGAAAGTTATGTTCAAAATACGATGAAGGGTCATAGGGAACACGATTTTAAGAAAGCAGCACCTTTTCAAGCAATAAGAGCTTTACAACAAAAATGAGAAGTCCATTTTCCAATCAAAACTAGAAAGCGCCACACAAAGATGCGCAGTAACTGCACCGAATGACAGGCCAGAACTGCCTAAGCGACGCAACTAGCATGACGTTGCATAGGGGCGCACGTCAGTGATATTGAAAAAACACATTTTGAAATACGAAAGGGCTGTTCCCATGGAAGCATGCAGAATGTAAATAACCACTTACCGTGTGATCATTTCACCTTGTTCGCTGACAAGGCTTGCAAGCTGCGCAAAAATTTGTCCCAATTCAGAAATCGAACCTTCAATAGTTTCCATAGCATTTGAACGGGCTTGCGCATAGCTATCTGATTGGTCTTGTAGTGTCATCTAAATCGGAATAAGGAAGTGATATAGTTTCCGATTTCAAACCGTTATACCTGTTGTTGAACTCGCATTTGTTCCATAGCGCCCATATCCAGAGTAACACTACTATTACGGGGGACACCATGCTGATTGTCATCTTCAAGAAGACGCGAGCGAACTAGGAAATAATTATTAAGAAAAGAGGGGGATTGTAAATGATTATCCAATGTGACGATAATACAGACTGATAAATAAAAATAAGAGAGGTTAGAAGTCAGACAAAGACCACCCATCATACGATTTCCATTATGTCCCTCATAGGCATTGAAGACATATTTAAAAAACCCTTACCTAGCACATGTCAACAAGTGAACTGCAATATCAAAAGAAAGTAAAACTACTGCTCACCATTTGAACCACTTGAAGATGATGGAAGTGATGTGGGAAGGTGATCCGCGTGCGAAAACTTTTCTCGCCTGCTTTTTTGGTGTTTCAAGTTCTGAAAGCATATATATTGGGAAGAAGAAATTGCAGAGTATGAAATCCTTCGCTCACTTCCGTACTGATCTCCAATACGCTTTGAAAGTCCTTACTCACACTTGCCAATTTCGACTGGAGACCGACCACAACAAGCTGGCTGCAATAATTTAAGTAAGGAGAGACGTGAATAAACCACACAGAAGAAGATTAGTATTTCTGTCTCTGTCAGATGAGATGTATTCTTCAACATTCATTGAAGAATACAAACTGTCAATGACGGATTTGAACAACTCACAGTCCAAACAGTGAAAATTACTTCGCTTTCCTCAGCTGATTACCTCACAATACTGTCAGTCATTATTGTATATCAGGTAGACTATATCTAGACTCTCAATCGACTGTAACTCACGTGTGACCAGTGCCTTGGTTTTTCATGCCACCATTGCGTCTTCGCGAAAACTCTTGAAGGGCTACTATTTGTTTATTCAAACCGGTGATATCCTAGATTTGCTCAGTGATAACTGGTCCTTGAGTGAAAATAAACGAACCTCCTTTACGACTCTAGACAAGTGGTCCATATCGCTCTTCTCATCGAAAAGGCTCTTCTTTTTTGCCAACTCGGCCAACCTTTCCATTTTGGCACATGTCTGGCTCAAATCCCGTCCGATTCTCCTGAAACAATCGACCTTTGGTTTCACTGGAAGCAAAGAAAAACAGCAGAATCAAAAATTGTAATTACAAATCTAAATGTGAATTTCACAATAAAATAAGATACAGATAAAAAGTAAAGATAAACGTAGGAATGCACTAAAACTCACTTGGCTAACTGATTAAATTGCACGGACTCGTTTATTATTTCTTTCTTTGCGTGCGGTACAAATCCATTAGAGTGTACCTTCATCTAAATTCGAAAAAATCAAATGGCACCCAATCTCTGAAAACGATATGTTGTCCATGTTCACGTGATCATTAACTGCAACCTGTTTTTTTATTTGCGATAGCGGGCAGAATGCGTCAATATTTTAACTACTGCAGAATTTCAGAGATTATATTTTGAGAATTGAAACTTAGTGTACTAAACTAGGAGAAGCAACTGACAGATCTCCTGCGATTATCACTTGAAATTGAGACTCGTGGAATTAAGGCTAAGAAAGTGAAAATATATCATACCACCTTATCAAAATCTGAAATCCAAATCTACATCCCTTAATCAAATAAAAATTACTTTTAGCAAAACATGGACATAATGACCGTAGACAAACCTATAGTTAACAGTTATATAATTGGCGCAAAGCATAGTGTTTTGCGCCCATTCGACCAAGAATTTCTTCATAACTTCGACGTCGTCTCGGTTACCAAGACGAATTTCAGTCTTCGATAAATCGGTGAGAAAATCTTGCAACTGTTCACCATTCATCCTTTCATCTGGAATGAAAAAGTTAAAAGCCGGTTCATGAGACAAAATGCAAAGGATGCAACAGAAAGAAAACGGAAAAAAAAAACGAACACGAAAAACAACGGAAGCGACGAGAAAAGAGTACGAAAGCGAAATAGCGGAAAAGCGAACTCGAGAGAAAGAAAGAGAGAGTATGAGATGAAAGAGAGGGAGAAAATAGAGAAAAAAGCGAGAACATCACAGCTCATGACGAGAGTGGGATTCAAAGGCGCGTATCTCGCGCCTCTGTGTGTTTTGACAATCTTTCGAGCGCTACCGTAACCCAATATTTTTTGGCCACACTTCCCAGTATATGGTTCGCAAAAACCATATGTATTTCCTTCTGAAGAAAAAGGTTCGAAGGGAAACAGCTACTACGGAGAGAGGAAGGATGAATCTATAGGATGACATGAAAAAGGCAGCTGTTTGAACGATTTGAAGGTAAGTTAATGGCCTGCGGCACCCCCCCTCAAAACCTGCGGCAGCCGCAGGTTTTGAGGGGGGGGGGTGCCGCAGGCCATTAACTATATCAAAAAAACATTTTTAGCGGACAATATTTATATGAATCAATAGTCTAAACCTCATAGATTCCATAGGGATGTTTTGAGCCTGATTCGTCTTCTTAGCTCTGAGTAATATTTGGTGAAAGCACAGCGATCAAAAGCTAAAAGCGATTTTGGTTGGCTTCTAATTCAATAGTTTGGAGGTCTTCTGAAGCGGGATTCCTGAGGTGGACAAAGAAGGAGTAGTGCTTTGTATTGAGTGCAAGAAGAGGTAGCTTACTCACCGTTGAGATGAAGTTAATCATGTTTTAAATTACTGCTTTATACAAGGTTGTTTACTGCTCGGAGACCTCAGAGTTCGCTGAAACTTGGCGCATAGGGGTTATTCGACACGCAGATTACGACAATTATGCTTGATTAGAGGTACGGTAGGTTACGGTAGGCATACGGTATCTGCAAGTTCGTGTCGTTGAACTTGAATTTTGCAGGATTTCAACAGCGTGGCACATCTAAGAACTTAGCTGCAGTCATTTCCCCTTAGAAACCGCTTTTGACCTTGGGTCGATACGACCCCCCCCCCCTACCTACCCTCCCCCCCTTACGACCCCCCCTTGCGGCGTGCCGCACCCCCCGCTTTACCCTGGTAATAACTCTAGGGCCCGTATGCACTACATCCCTCTGGGGAGGGCAGGGGATCTGAAAGGAGATGCGTCATATCTCGCTACTCTAGGTACCTTTCTTCTTCTCTATCTTGTTTATGAAGGTTCTCATACCTTTAAACCTACACATTATGGTTGCCAGGTGTTGCCATACAGGATGGGTTTTACATTCTACGGCATTGCTTAACATGTTTATAGCAGAAATAAGTAAAATCTTCTCACGATATCGAAGTCTTCGATAAACGACTGCTCACTAGCTAGGGATTATCGAAAAACTTACAATCTTCAAATTCTATTTCTCCTGTCGAAAACATTAGCAGTGCTGTAGCATATCACCAGTACAATTTTGGACTGACTTCTCAGGAAGACAAATCACTTTGAAAATGAGAGATGAAAAATGAGATCGCCATTTTGTGTGATCCAATTTCCAGAAGATCACACAAAATGGCAATCTTATATGGAATCAACCTGTTATCCATTATGTGCAGGCGTAAGTGTATGAGGGCTTTCATGAGCAAGATAGAGAAAGAAGAAAGGTATGTAGAGTAGCGAGATATGACGCATTCCCTTTCAGATCCCCTCCACTCCCTAGCGGGATGTACGTGCATACCGCTCTAAGGGCCGCATGCACTAACAACCCCGCGGGGAGGGGATCGCAGCTTAAAAGAAAGCTTCATATTTCGAAACTCCAGATACTTGGATTTCACGTTCTGTACCTATCCGTAAGTATTCCTACTACCCTTCACTATAAACATGTTGAAGAGGAGCGAGAAGCTGTACGAACCGCATTTTCCAGCTTTTGTATGATCCCTGATGATCCCCGGCGCTTTTCTTTAAAGTCATTTTTCTTTCTCCGAAGTTAACGGAAAATCTCCAAAGTTGTGCAGATTATCTAACCCGACTGTGCTAAGCATGTTGCTGATAAGAACAAATGATGTTTTGGAGTCGTGAAATTTTCGATGATCCATAAGTCGAAATTTGAGGTTTACCGAAAAATTCGACTTTTCAAAAACTCATTTGTTTTCATCAGCAACATGCTTAGCACTGTTGTGTTAGATGTTCAGTACAACTTTGAAAGGTTTTCGTTAACTTCGGAGAAAGAAAATTGACTTTAAAGAAAAGCGCCGGGGATCATCAGGGATCATGCAAAAGCTGGAAAATGCGGTTCGTACAGCTTCTCGCTCCTGTTCAACATGTTCATGGTGAAGGATAATAGGAATACTTACGGACAGGTAGACAGCGTGAAATCCAGATATCTGGAGCTTCAGAATATGAAGCTTTCTTTTGAGCTGCGATCCCCTCCCCGCGGAGTTGTTAGTGCATGCGGCCCTAAGATATCAAAGAGCTCGCATCCTGTCTTTTCAGTTTCTTAAGAAACAGTCGAAGTGCAGAAGTAGAACAATCTTACTACTCTTCGTAGAACTCGGCTTCTTGCCAAATGCAAAAGAAATCTCCTTTGGCTAACAAGGGAACCGTATGAGTCGAAGTGGCCTTTCCAGATGAGACCCACACTGCTTTGAAGAGCATTAATTGGTGATTCCAAATCTGCTTTCCAAATCTGCCAAGCGCCTCTGGACGCCGAGTTATGCTCGTTCTTCAGGTCAAAAAATTGAACGCAAAACTGAAGCAAAATCGCCCAAATTTGCTCAAATGATCCAGTGTCAAGTATCAGAACTGTTTATGCAATGGATACATTTTTTTTCAATATGCTAATACTTAACCTTGCTTTATCTGAGCGCTGAAAAGATCGTAACAGTCAATTTTACCTATATTCTGCATTCATTTTTCGTTTCGAAGAACGGTCATAATTCGGCGTCCAGAGGCGCTTGGCAGATTTGGAAGGCAGATTTGGAATCACCGCTTAATACCCTTCAAAGCAGTATGGGTCTCATCTGGAAAGGCCACTTCGACTCGACACGGTTTCCTTGTAAGTTGGAAATCGTAGCCTATCAATAATTGTTGACTGCTTTTTTTCGTAATTACGTCAACCACCTTTCTGGTGGAAGGACTGGAAATCTTGCGGGAAAGATGTGGTTCCATCAGCGCTCAACTTAACACATTGACGACAATGTGACTCACAGGTGGGTCACGGCTCAAATTTTATTGAAATGATTGCAATTATCGGGTATAATTGTTTCATGAGTTTTGTTAGCTCTGACCCTAGAGGATGCTTTGACGTTTCTTTACTCCTTTCTAGAATATGTGTAGGTATAGTTTAGATGACGACGGCGTGATTTTAGCCAAAAATTCGTGAAAGGCATTGTTCCACAAGGTAGGCAACAAAAAATGTGCGTTTTCGTCTATGTGTTAAGTTAATGTTGATGACCATCGTAGACGTCGGTGTTTTCGATTCATTAGCAGTGTTCCAATACTTTTGAGAATATTCTTTCCGACTTTTTTCACTATTTCGGTTCTTTGTTGTTTACGATGTAAATAAGCTAAAGTCAATTGCATAAATGATTCATGGCAAAAGCCTTGAAATTATATGTCCATTCTAGAAGATCCATTGAAAAAATCCAAACTTCAAATCAGTGGAACATTTCCTACTCAGTCCTTTGCCATGTGTAAATGAGTTAGTGGCTGTTCTACCTTTGACCACATTTGCTTTTCGTAGGCATTGATTATACTGGAAAGGCCAATGGGCTATATTCAAAAAGTGAGCAAAATTCAACGCACTACTAAAAATAGAGTACTGTGTTAATTCAATTGTTTAGCCATGACCGAGATTGGTAAGTTTTTATTTAGGCTAACGTTTCGGCAATAATTCGCCTTCTTCAGAGCCTGAAATGGGCGAAAACAATTTACAGACTACCCGATCGAACATCTCCTTAACCCCACAGGCAAAATTCTAAGCTCTTTTTCGACCACGAGCAGGTTGCCACACGGAATACTCACCTTTCGTTCGCCGGTAAAGTTCTGGTTTAGTACGAGCGAGTGCTTACTGACCGCTTGAGCAAGGAATTAAACATGTGGTCAAAGGTAGAACAGCCACTAACTCATTTACACATGGCAAAGGACTGAGTAGGAAATGTTCCACTGATTTGAAGTTTGGATTTTTTCAATGGATCTTCTAGAATGGACATATAATTTCAAGGCTTTTGCCATGAATCATTTATGCAATTGACTTTAGCTTATTTACATGTTTAATTCCTTGCTCAAGCGGTCAGTAAGCACTCGCTCGCACTAAACCAGAACTTTACCGGCGAACGAAAGGTGAGTATTCCGTGTGGCAACCTGCTCGTGGTCGAAAGAAAGCTTAGAATTTTGCCTGTGGGGTTGAGGAGATGTTTGATCGGGTAGTCTGTAAATTGTTTTCGCCCATTTCAGGCTCTGAAGAAGGCGAATTATTGCCGAAACGTTAGCCTAAAAAAAAACTTACCAATCTCGGTCGTGGCTAAACAATTAAATAAACACAGTATTCATCATGCCGAGATTCATAGAAAGTCGAACTTTCCAAAAATAGAGTAATTTCAATCAAAAGTTTGATCTGCTTTGTGCTCAAAGACTTTAAAGTAGCATTCGAGAAAGGTTGTACACTCTAAAAATGGCAAAAAATTGAGACATTTGTCCTTTCATCGATCTGATGTTCTATTAATTAAAATCTGCTTGGCTTGATGTTGTACGAGAAAAGTTGGGGGCATCATTAAACCCTGCAAAACTCATCACGACTGCAAGCATTCACGCACTTGCAAATTTCACAGAATTCGTAACCTATAAAAAAATTCCGGGAACTAACCATAAGCTGTGAAGCTATGGCGTGCACTTCAAGATCTTTGCATTACTTTCAAGACTTGCAAAATTGAATAGCAATAGAGTGATTGTGGAG